AATGCGATACGGCAAACATAAACACATACATGCATGCGGCGATCTCTCAACAACACCCCTGTATTTCGGGAGCGGCAAAGAGGGGGGCGTCCAAGAGGGGGGGGTGCAAATCATGACCGGCGGCATGTGCGCGGCCCAGCGGGGGGGCCAGGGACGTAATGAAATAAGAAGAGGCGCCATGAGATCTGGGGAGACATCATGGCCCCCGCCATGATATCCGCCCCCCCCCCTAGTCATCACCCCCCTCTTTTCCGCTCCCGATATTGGATGACGGCTGCTTCTGCCGCCGGGATCGGCGACGCGTCGCCGAGAGATCGGCGATGGGCCCCCGAGAGCGCATCCGCGCGCGCCTGCGCGGGACGGGGCCGTCGGGCCCCCGTCGGCGACGAATGGGCCACTGCAGGGCCGATGCGTCCGCCGCCGCCGAGGAGGAGGAGGAGAGGGGGAGGAGGAGGAGGAGGAGGAGGAGGAGGAGGGGGAGGAGGAGGGGGAGTAGGAGGAGGAGGAGGAGGAGGAGGAGGAGGAGGAGGAGGAGGGAGGAGGAGGAGGAGGAGGAGGAGGGAGGGGGAGTAGGAGGGGAGGATGAGGAGGAGGAGGAGGAGCGAGGAGGAGGAGGAGGAGGAGGAGGAGGAGGAGGAGGAGGAGGGAGGAGGAGGAGGAGGGATCGCGATGGAGCCCACGAGAGCGCATCCGCGCGCTCCTCGCGGGACGGGGCCGTCGGGCCCCCTCGGCGACGATGGGCCACTGCAGGGCCGATGCGTTCGGCGCCGGCGAGGGAGGGGGAGGAGGGGAGGAAGAGGAGGAGAGGGAGAGGAGGAGGAGGAAGAATGGAGGAGGGAGAGAGGGAGGAGGAGGAGGAGTGAGGAGGAGGAGGAGGAGGAGGAGGAGGAGGGAGGAGGAGGAGGAGGAGGGGAGGAGGAGGAGGATGAGGAGGAGGAGGAGGAGGAGGAGGAGGAGGAGGAGGAGGGGAGGGGGAGAGGTGGAGGCGGAGGAGGAGGAGGAGGAAAGATGAGGAGGAGAGGGGGGGGAGGAGGAGGAGGAGGAGGAGGAGGAGGAGGAGGAGGAGGAGGAGGATGAGGAGGAGGATGAGGGGAAGGCGGGGGCGGGGGAGGGGGGGGGCGTCACAGATTTGGCGGAGTTCTACACCTGAGGCGAGCTCGCGCATCGGAGGGCCGCGTTGCGGGCGCTCCGGCCCGGCGCCGTGCCGGGGAGGAGGGCCCTGCGGGGCAAAAGGGGCCCGGGAGCTCCGAGGCCGCGGGTGGGGTAAGACTCAGATCGGCGGATCTCCAGCTTCTCGGGGTTTTAGAGGCTCGAGGGTCGAGGCTCGAGAACCCAAGCTCGAGGACCGAGGTTCGGAGAACCCTGACTTTCTCGCGTCGTGAAGAAAATCACGCTTGAGGGTTTGGGGGTACTTTTCTGCCTCCTGGGCCCTTGCCAGGCCCTGCATCGGGCCATCAAGAAAAAAAGCGGGGGGTGAAAAAACAGGCCTCCTCCTCCTCCTCCGCCCTCCCCCCCCCTCCTCTCCTCTCCCCTCCTCCTCCTCCTCCCTCATTCCTCCTCCTCTCTCTATGCTCCTCCTTCCTCTTCCTGTTCCTCCTCCCCTCCTCCTCTCCCTCCTCCTCCTCCTCCTCCTCCTCCTCCTCCTCCTCTCCTCCTTCTGCTCCTCAGGAGAAGAACTTCTGGACTTTGCCCGGGCCGCCAGCGGGCCGCCAGCGGGACGGCTCCGGACGCTCCCAGGGAGGCCTTCGACGAGGCGCCGCCGGCGGCAGACTCCCGCTGGCTATGGCGGGCGGAGCACGGTAGAACATTAACTTTGCCGCCGTCGGGGGCGCCTGTCCCTGGGCGGCTGGAGAATGATACCCCTGCGTGGCACCGTGGGGGTATAAACCTTGCAACCGCCGGGGGGCAGCGTCCCCGACAGCCGAAACGCTTCTTTTATACCGTTCTTCGCCCCCCTGACCGGGGGCGACGGAGGGGCTGCTGGGGGGGAGCGCGGCCCATCGGTTTGGACCCGCGTGTCGTGGCGGCGGCGGCGGCTCCTGCGGCACGCCTGGTGCCCTGCGAGCTGATGGCGCGTCGCTCCGCTTCGTGGGGCGGGGGGCCCAGAAAGCTCGGAACATTCATAGCGGAAGAGAAAAGCCACAAGCACAAAATGTGGGCGCTCCGCGCGAATCTCTTGGATCTGCGCTGGGCCCCCCTCCCTGGCGCGCGGAGCGCGCCAGGGGCGGCGCCGGAGGCGCCGCGGGGGAGGGGGAGGCGGTGGAGGAGGAGGAGGAGGAGGAGGAGGAGAAGGAGGAGGAGGAGGAGGAGGAGGAGGAGGAGGAGGCGGTCATCGCGGATCCAAGAAATCCGCGCGGAGCGCTACAAGTTTACGCTCGTGGCGCTGCTTCGCCTTCGAGCTGGTGCGCAGGGGCGGGGGCGTGGGGCACGTGCCGCGCCGAAGCGTGGCGGACCAGTGCTAGCGTGAAGTCGGGCGTGTCCCCCTACAGGCCGATTTTGGACGAAGAATTAGTAATACCCCAAAACATACCCTGATTAAGACTACTCAAGAATGATAAAGAATAGTCCCCTGACTTAAGAATACCCCAGAAATGCCCTGCTTAAGAATACTCAAAACTGGTCCAAAAATAGTCCCCAGGCTATGTTTTTGCTATTTTTGAATAGTCCCCCTGTAGAGGGGCACGCCCGACTTCATGCTAGCGGCGCGACACGCGGAGCCAGCGCTGCTGCCCACAGGAAGGGGTGGCGGCCGCGCGGCGGCGTCCTCCTCCTTCCCCTTCCCCCTCTTCTGGCCCACCCTTCCTTCGGAGGCAACTGCTGGGAGGGTTTCGTCGGAAGGATCAAGGCGGATTGAGCCCCACTGGGGGGGCCGTCGCGCCAGAGTGGGCCTCGGATTAAGCGGGATTCAAAGCGGATCACGCGGTACTAAGCGGGACTACGCGGGCTTCAGCGGGACTAAGCCGGATTAGGCGGGATTTCGGACCAGGGCTAAATCAGAATTTGACCTCCCATGAGTTGCATCCGAACCTTCCCTTCTCATACGATCGGGCATGGGACAGAAGAACACCCTCCAAGAACATGAGACCCTCCGCCGGCCCGAAGCGAAGAACATCCGGGGGTGCCCTCCCGCAGGATGCACAAGAGCACCCGCCAAACACGAAGAGCGTTAGGGCATCCCCCCCGAACCGACCTCGGTCTTCTACCCTGAGATCGGACGTTGCAAAAAAAAGAAAACCAACATAGCCAAGAATCACGACCTGAGCCCCAGACCCCATCTTTCCAGCGTGGGCGGGATCCGGGGTGCTAATTTCGAGCTGCCCCCTTGCTCCCTTGCTCCCTTAGCAGCTAAGGGAGCAGCCCTGCTCCCTTGCTCCCTTGCTCCCCTAGCTAAGGGCGCAACCCTCCCCCCTTGCTCCCTTGCTCCCTTAGCCGCCAAGGGAGCAGCCCTGCTCCCTTGCTCCCCTGCCCCCTTAGCTAAGGGAGCAGCCTTGCTCCCTTGCTCCCTTGCTCCCTTAACCGCTAAGGGAGCAGCCCTGCTCCCTTGCTCCCTTGCTCCCTTAGCTAAGGGAGCAGCCTTGCTCCCTTGCTCCCTTAGCCGCTAAGGGAGCAGCCCCGCTCCCTTGCTCCCTTGCTCCCTTAGCAGCTAAGGGAGCAGCCCTGCTCCCTTGCTCCCTCGCTCCCTTAGCTAAGGGAGCAGCCCTGCTCCCTTGCTCCCTTGCTCCCTTAGCTCTCCCTTGCTCCACCCCTGGGAGGGCACAGGTGTAACGTCGTGAGGGTGTATGGGCAAGGGCGCAAGAGTGCAAAGGGTGCAAGGGGGCAAGGGGGCAAGGCCCCTGCCTCTCCCTCTTCCCCGTCCCCCCTCCTCCCCCTTGTGCCCTCCCCCCCTCTCCCTGCCCTCCCCTTTCCTCCCTCCTCCGCCTCCCCCGTGCCCTCCTCCCTCTCTCCCCGGCCCTCCCCCTCCGCTCCTCCGCGGCCGCCCAAGAGGGAGGTGCGTATTTTCTAATAAATACCGCCCCTCCCGGGGGCGCCGAAGGCGCGCGCCAAGACGGCCGGGGTTAGCTCCAAGACGGCCCGAGGACTCAAGAGGGCCCCAACATGGCTCCAAAGGCCCTCCAGAAAGCCTCCTTGAGTTCTCCAATGCGGCCTCTTTCGGGCCGCATTGAAACCGTCTTGGCAAAATATGGGGCCGTCTTGGGTCTTGGGACGGAGCCCGAAGAGGCGTCCGACAGGGCCCCGAACGCTTGGGGGGCCCGAGACTCCCGAAAAAAGTGCCGAAACAATACAACTACAACGACCACGACGACGACGCCGCCGACGACGCCGACGACCACGACCACGACCACGACGACGACGACGACCACGACGACGACCACGACGAGACCTTGGAGGGGCCCAAGAGGGGCTGCAAGGGAGCAGGGGGGGGGGCAAGGGAGCAAGGGAGCAAGGGAGCAAGGGGGGGCAAGGGAGCAGGGGGGGGAAGTGGCTCACTGCGATCCCAGCCTGACGAGGCTGCCCGAATGCGTGCAAGCAGACAACCTGTGAACGCTCCTCACTCCTTCTTTTTCTCTCCTCGCCCGCGCACCTCCTCTTCCTCCTCCTCCTCCTCCTCCTCCTCCTCCTCCTCCTCCTCCTCCTCCTCCGCCCTACTGCTCTTCATTATCATCCTGCTCCTCCTCCCTCTCCTCCTCCCACCGCCTCCTTTTCATTTTCGCTGGCCACCTCCCAAGTGGCCCGAGGGTCTAGCTCCGCTCCGCAATTAGTCATCACGCGCCCCGCCCCGCTGCGGACCCGCGAACTCCCACGCGCCTCGTTCCGCCCCGCCGCGGACAAGCCTATCAGGAACTCAGCGGCCCCGGCGCCGGCGCGCGGCCCAGACGCCCAGACGAGTCCAGCCCTTCGGAGCCTCCTGCCCGGCCACGCCCGGGCGCCTCGCCACGGTCGCCGGGCAGGTACTCCTGAGCTCCCAGGCAGCCATGGGATGCCGGGGAGCTGGCGGCCACCGCCAGCTTCTCAGCATCGGCCACGGGGACGCGCGCCACGCGCCCCCCGGCGTCGGCCACCTGGTGCCAGGCCGCTCATAGCTGGGCGGGAGCAGGGCCGTCGTTTGCGACCCCGTCGAACTCCGCCCGGAGCCTCGCCACGTCGACGTCCCGAACCTGCGCCTCGGGGACCCGCCGCTTGATGTTCAGTTGCAGGACTCCCGCGGCCTGCAGAACTTGGGTGGTTCTCCCTGCAGCCACCCGCGCGGCGGCGTCTCCCAGCCGCCCAGCGGTCTGCCGGGGATTGCACGGCGGGCCGCTGGCCCGCGGCGCACTCGCAGGATCAGCGGCGGAACCTCGGCCCCGCAGAGCCCGCACGGCAACGCTGTGGACGAGCGCTCTGACTGTGGACGATCGGGGTGCCCGCGCTGTGGACGAGCGCTCTGGCTGCGGCGGGGTGGTTGTGGGTCTCCACGTGCCCGCGTCTGATCGACGCCTGCGCGGCGACCTCACGACCCACGGCGCATGGACAGATGCGCGGCGCCGCCGCCGTGGGGACGGCCGAGGGGCGGCCTCCGCTGGCCCTCCAGCGAAGTACGGATCCCACGAGACCCCCTGGTCGAGCTGGCCCCCCTCTGGGAGGTAGGGGTCCCACGCGGCGGGGGGCGGGCTCTGGCTGCGATCCGCCATGGGTTGAGCCAAGATGGCTAGGGGTGCTGGCGGGTTCGGTGATGACAGGACTCATCGTCGGTCCTGTGCGCCACCCTCATCACACATCGTCCCATTCACTCCGTCTCCACGCTACTCTTCCTCACTCCTCCCCCCCTTCCTCACTCCTCATCCCTCCTCCTCCTCCTCCTCCTCCTCCTCCTTCTCATCCTGCTCCTGCGTCCTCCGCAGTCGCTGCCGGACTCCATCCTGGCACTCTCGGGGGCGGGGCGCTGCTTCAAAAGATTTGCGCATGATCCGCCCCCCGCCTGCCACCCCGCCTGGGCGGGGTCCTGAGAGGATAAGGGGAACGACATGCTGGACAGCGTGGGCCCCAAACAGTGTGTTCTAGCATGATAGGTATCGCAAGCTATACCTGCGCAAGCTATGTGGTGCAAGCTGTGTGGCGGAAGCTATGTGGTGCAATGTACGTAGTGCAAGCCACGTAGTGTAAGAGATGCGGTGCTATGTGGTGCAGTATAACTTGGGTGGGATAGGTGGTGTAAGCGGCGGTGCCATATTTGTGGTTGGTGGTAATGGCCTCATCTATGTGGGGGAAGCTATGTCGTGTAAGCTAGGTGATGCCACATGCGTGGTGCGGTCAACCGGGTGTGATTTCTGTAGTGCAATCCGTGTAGTGCACTTGCGCCCTTGCGCCCTTGCAGCTTTGCACCCTCGTACCTTCTTACCCTCTTGACCTTGCGCCCTTGCCGCTAAGGGAGCAGCCCTGCGCCCTTGCTCCCTGGCTCCCTTGCTCCCTTAGCTAAGGGAGCAGTCCTGCTCCCTTGCTCCCTTAGCTAAGGGAGCAGCCCTGCTCCCTTGCTCCCGTGCTCCCTTAGCTAGCCCGGCTCCCTTGCTCCCTTGCCCCCCCTTGTTTCCTTGCAGCCCCTCTTGGGCCCCTCGGAGGCTTTCTGGAGGGCCTTTGGAGCCATCTTGGGACCCTCTTGAGTCCACGGGCCGTCTTGGAGCTATCCTCGGCCGTCTTGGTGCGCGCCTTCGGCGCCCTCGGGAGGGGCAGCATTTATTCGAAAATGAATACCTCCCTCTTGGGCGGCCGCGGAGGATCGGAGGGGGAGGGCCGGGGGGAGAGGGAGGAGGGCACGGGGGAGCTGAGGGAGCAGCCCTGCTCCCTTGCTCCCTTGCTCCCGTGCTCCCTTAGCTAGCCCTGTTCCCTTGCTCCCTTGCCCCCCCTGCCCCTCTGGGGCCCCTCGGAGGCTTCCTGGAAGGCCTTTAAAGCGATCTTGGGGCACTCTTGAGTGCTCGGGCCGTCTTGGAGCTATCCTCGGCTGTCTTGGGACGCTCCTTCGGCGCCCCCCGGAGGGGCGGTATTTATTCGAAAATGAATACCTCCCTCTTGGGCGGCCGCGGAGGAGCGGAGGGGGAGGGCCGGGGAGAGAGGGATGAGGGCACGGGGGAGGCGGAGGAGGAAAAAGAGGGGAGGGCAGGGAGAGGGGGGGAGGGCACAAGGGGGAGGAGGAGGGGACGGGGAAGAGGGAGAGGCAGGGGCCTTGCACCCTTGCACCCTTGCACTCTTGCGCCCTTGCCCATACACCCTCACAACGTTACACCTGTACCCTCCCAGGGGTGGAGCAATGGAGAGCTAAGGGAGCAAGGGAGCAAGGGAGCAGGGCTGCTCCCTTCGCTAAGGGAGCAAGGGAGCAAGGGAGCAGGGCTGCTCCCTTAGCGGCTAAGGGAGCAAGGGAGCAAGGGAGCAGGGCTGCTCCCTTAGCGGCTAAGGGAGCAAGGGAGCAAGGGAGCAGGGCTGCTCCCTTAGCTAAAGGAGCAAGGGAGCAAGGGAGCAGGGCTGCTCCCTTAGCGGCTAAGGGAGCAAGGGAGCAAGGGAGCAGGGCTGCTCCCTTAGCTAAGGGAGCAAGGGAGCAAGGGAGCAGGGCTGCTCCCTTAGCGGCTAAGGGAGCAGGGGAGCAAGGGAGCAGGGCTGCTCCCGTAGCGGCTAAGGGAGCAAGGGAGCAAGGGAGCAGGGCTGCTCCCTTAGCTAAGGGAGCAAGGGAGCAAGGGAGCAGGCAAAAAATTAAAGATACCCGGATTCCCCCTACAATGCATCTTTCCGCCTTTTTTTTCAAGCCGGATCTATCGGTGATGGCCCCAGGGCCCGAAATGGAGCGATAACGTCCGTTGTGATTTCTTTTTAATGAAAAAAGAAAACGCAACGCCAGGATCTCAGGGTACAGTAGGAGCTCGACCACAAGAAACCTCCCACAAGAAACCAATCCTGGACCCCCAGAACGCCTATCGATGTTTGGTGTGGGAACGTCACGCTTCCCATCGCAAAGCCATCGCAGCCCAAGAAACCCAGGACACTCTGGAGGCAAGCAGGGAGTTTCTCGGCATGGGCCTCCACTGTACTGACTACCTACCAGACCACCCCAACCCAACCCGAAGACCCGAATTTGACCCACATCTCGGGTTGGGGGGGGGTACGGGTTCCATGTGTTTTTCCAGTGTTCCCCGGCCCCCCCCCAACTGGAAATGGAGGGCAAATTGAAACCTTCGGGTTGGGTTGGGGTGGTTTGGTGAGTGGTGACGTAGTTAGTGCGGGATGACGATGAATAAAAAAATCAGAGAGAACGATTAAACATGGTTTTCTGCGATTTCTGCATCATTTTCTGACCGGAGGAGAACGATCCCAAAAACAGTTTTCCAGCCCGCGGCCGTATTTTTCTGATCGTCATCCCGGGCGCCGCCGCGTGAACACGACCCCCGGTCATTTATGACTACCTACCAGACCACCCCAACCCAACCCGAAGACCCGAATTTCGGGTTGGGGGGGGGTAAGGGTTCCACACGTGTTTTTTCTACGTTTCCCGACCCCTCCCCACTGGAAATCGAGGGTAAATCTGAGCCTTCGGGTTGGGTTGGGGTGGTTTGGTGGGTGGTGATTTCTTGATCGTCATCCTCCAGCACCTCGGCCCGGCCGTGTCTGGAGGCCCCTCGGCGCCCGAGGCGGGCGCGCGCGCCTTGCCGTCCTTCCCGCAGACGGCCCCCGCCAGCGTCAGCCGCGCGTCCTCCGGGTCCGCCGGCAGGGACCCCAGCTGCACGAACAGCTGGTCCTCGTCCTGCCTGGCCGCGGGGAGACCGGCGGGAGACCCTGATGGGACGCACATGGACACACTAATACTATATGTCCTCCTTGGAGGCGCGCGTCCGACCCGAACATGTAGTATACCCATCTTGTAGTAAATCGTTTCCCGAGCGGTGCGGCCAGAAAGCGCCCGCCACGACGCATATACTATAAGAATTCTCGGTGCGCGCGTCGCCCCTGGGGGGGCGACGCACATATAGTATAAGTATGTTGGGGTGTTGCCGACCTGACTCCAGATCCGCCCTACTTTGGTTTTTTTCCCAACCTAAAATTGCGTCGGAAATCCACCTATAAACAGCCGAAGAAGCAGGGCGGAAATCTCTGCACCCAACACAGGAATAGCGCGGAGATCCACGGAAGTGGGGCGGAAACAACCACAGAAAAGTAGGGCGGGAACTGGCATCAGCGGGGCTTGAAAAGTAAGGCGGGAATTCCAAGCCCTACTTACGAATTTCCCCAAAGTAGGGCGGATCCGGAGTCAGGGGATGGTGGAGTGGAGTGGAGGCCCGGTTCGCGCGGCGACCGCGCAAGGCACTCGGGGCAAGGCAATCCCCAGGAGGGTCCAGAGATCGACGGGGACGGCAGGGAAAACGGAAGGACAAGGAGATTGTGATTTTGATGTAATTAACAGATTCACTCTGTGGGCAAGAACGGCGTGAAACTGACGAAGTCGATCGTGACATTGGTGCCAATGTGGATGCCGGTGCCCAGGGCGTCGCTTAATGTGGGGGCGATGAATTGGAGATTTTTGTTCGGCAGTCGGCACGCCAGCCAAGCGACGATGACTAAACGAGCTCTCGGACCATACCGCCACGGCAAGGCTGCCCCGCAGCATGCATCGGAGGAGCGCCTGGCCAGCAAAAACAGGGGAAAGCGCACTTCTCGGGCCCAGAAAGCCGCGTTGGCCCCCAAAGGGCCCCTTGTAGGGAGGGCAGAAAATCCACCCCGATAATAGCCACCCCGACGCGCGAAGCCGTTCAGTCAACGCGCCCGAAGAAGGAATCAGACAGTGCAGGGCTGCTTTGTAAACGCCCGGGGCCGTTTAGTAAAAACGCCACTTGTCTGGCGTGGGTGGGCCTCTCCTTCCTGGGCCTGTGCTCCTCGTGGCTATAGATGTTTTTCGCCCGCGTTGGTTTTCGCCCGGTTCGTTTCGCCCGGTTCGTTTCGCCCGGGTTGGCTTTCGCCCCAGTTGGCTTTCGCCCGGGTTGGCTTTCGCCCCAGTTGGCTTTCGCCCGGGTTGGCTTTCGCCCCGGTTGGCTTTCGCCCCAATTGGCTTTCGCCAGGGTTGGCTTTCGCCCGGGTTGGCTTTCGCCCGGGTTGGCTTTCGCCCGGGTTGGCTGTCGCCTGGGCTCGTTTTCGCCTGGGTTCCCGCGTCCATCAGGAGCGCGGGCGACGGGCATGGATCCCGGAAGAGGGCCGCGGGCCGAAGGAGGACAGGAAAGG